GGGCTCATTGCATCTGTAGACAATCTTCTGTATGGCTGAGGCTGGGTGCTAATCCTTTATTTCTATCTTGAATATCCATAGAGGTTCTACTGTTTCCAGGGTGAGAGGCAGGTCTTACAGTATTTTTCTCTTTGACTGTATGCATGTACTCTAAAACAAGTGAACAACTCTGAATCCATGGAAAGGGATTGGTGTATATATTTATACACTTTTTAATATAATTTATTGCTATTCAAAGTATAAATCTGCTTGTTGGGTGATAGCATCAACGTGTCTCTGTTATTTTACTTTCTGCTTAACACACAGTGATATCACATACATTTTTTTTCACAGATGGGAGCAAAAATTAATTCACCTACATCTAGAGGGACACTATCAGTTACAAGACATATTTTAAAGTGAAAATGCAATTTAAAAATGCCACTCTAATTCTTGACGCTATAAAGAATATATAATTCTCAAAAGCCTTTGTACCCAGATGTAGCTATTTGATTAGTGGATACAGATGCAGTCCATGAATTAAATTCCTTCATAAATCATACTACCATTGGATTTTATAACATAAAGTTGATTTACATGGGTTTTCCCTAGACTTCACTAATTGACTTCCTATACTCCTGTTAATCAATTCTGGGAACAAAGGTAAAGAGGCTTTATAACTTCTACTTCTCTCATTGACAGTATGAACACAATGTGGGGAAACGCAAATGGAGATAATGTGTTTTGTAACCATGTGTCAAAGAGCCCTGGTGGCATACTGGTTAGGCACTTGTCTGCTAACTGAAAGGCTGTTTGTGTGAACCCATTGGAGAAAGATGATGCAGTCAGCTTCTATAAAGATTTAAAGCCTTGTTAAGAATGTGGTGGCTTCTTGGCCACAGTTAGTTTCCTGGAGGGAACAAGTAGTCAGACCTGTGGGCTCAGGACCATGGTCACAGGGGACATCAAGCTCAATTGGCATAACATACTACACAAAAACATTATTCTACATCCTATTTTAGTGGTAGCGACTGGGATCTTAAAAGCTTGCAAGTGGCCATTTAGATGCAACAATGGGTCCTTCCTCATCCAGAGCAAAGAAAAATGAAGAAAACCAAAGATGCATGAAAACAATTAGTCCAAGGGACTGGTAGACCATGTGATCCTCTGCCTATATGACCATGAGACCAGAAGAACTAGACGGTGCCCAGTTAGCACTGTCAACCACTCAGAGGGGGATTTAGTGCAGGAGATCCTAGATAGAGCGGGAGAACAATGTGGGACAAAACTCAAAACAAAAAAAAAAAAGACCAGGTTTGCTGGTCTGATAAAGCCAGGTGAGACTCCTGATATTATGGCCCCTAGCCACCCTTTAGGTCTGATATTGAACTCACTCCCGTGACTTCCAGCCAAACAATAAACAGACATATGGGGTGAACATTTACATCAGGTTGATACACTCCTTGGAGTGATCTATCACTGGAGAACAGAAGGGCAGTGTTTGCACAGGGAGACAGCTCAGGGGGCAGAATTGCATGGGAGGGCCAGACACAGGGAAAAGGTAACTACAGGGAGGAGGTGGGAAGAGAGTTGTTACATTGTGGGACATTGCAGTCAATGTTATGAGACAAAATGTGAATGAACTACTGTAAGGAAAATGAATTTTCTCTGTAAACTTTCACTCAAGTCACAATAAAAATTGAAAAGTAAAAAAGAAAATCATTATAATAAAAAGATTTACAGCCTTGGAAACACTATGGGGCAGTTCTGCTTTCTCTTATAGGGTCACTCTGAGTTGGAATCGAGTCAACAGCAATAGGCATTTTGGTTTTACCCATGTGACGTTACAAGATACTTTCTAGACCTTTTCCAGTTTCAGAGAGGAAATAGCAACAACCTCTATATTATGTGCCTCAGCTTTTCTCTAAAATTTGTTATTAGTTTCCAAAATGGAATTGAAACTTTGCTGGTTATGCTGGTGTAGATTGGCTGAGGACCCCTAACTTGTGAAGTTAATTAAAGGACTCCATCTTGTTTCTTTCAAAATGGTAATCTCAGGCTCTATATACTAAAATGTGGGGTATGTGTGTATCTATGTATGCATATATGTATAAATATGCATATATGCTATCTATACATGTAGTATGAGAGAAAAAAATAAGTAGGAAATGACAGATTCTGATAGAAAAAGAATGAAGAAAGGGATGAGAAGGGAAGGGAATTACCATTCATTAAGCTCTTACTATGAACCAGGTACCAGGGAAAAAAGGCAATAGGGGAAAATGGGATGATGATGCAATTGTCTAGATGTTAAAGAAAGAACTTGTAAGGGAAAAAAAAAAAAAAAATTCTTCCTTAAAGGAGATTGAGTAAAAATGGAAGCTGGCAGCCCATCAGGGAGTGCTTGTCAAGCCATTCAGAGGGAGAACAGAAGGCTGTGGGGCACTGATTTTTGCTTCTGTCTCCCCTAGGTGATGGGTTGCTGTCTCACCATGAGATGAGTTATCTTTGAAGTTCTGCTGAACAGTCTAGATAGCATGACTTAAAAGTGCAAGTCCCTTAGCAGGGTTCAGCTACCCAGAATACAAATGCTCAGAGAACGAAACAAGGTAAGGAAAACCAGCCCAACACATTTCCAATTAAACCCTAGAGAGGTAATGTTGTTGTTATGTGCCATCGAGTCGGACCCGATTCATAGTGACCCCTCCTTGGGTCTCCGAGGCAGTATCACTACGGAAGTAGAATGCCCATCATTCCTTCCAAGGAGTGGCTGGTGGGTTTGAACCACCAGCCTTCTGGTTAGCAGTCAAGTGCCTTAGGCACTATGCTACCAGAGCTTCCTGTAATTAAAAGAATCTCAAAAGACTATCTATTGGAGGTTTCTGGGTTCTTTTTTGAACATATTTATCAGGGGTGCTTAAAATTTCTTTAAATTGTATTCTGTGATTCCTCTGAGGCATTGTGGTGATCGAGAGAGGAGAAGGGTGACTTTACAGAGTCCATGGGAAGATGGGAGGTAGGGTCAGGTCCAGCTGAGTTTGCAACATGACAGAGAGAAAAGGATGAAAGCAGTAACCATTTTGGAGATCTTTAAGGTAAGCCCTCAAGAATTCCACTTAGGAATTCTTTCTGCTTAGATGTCACTTACTTTCTGCATTTCCACTGCTCCAAAATCACATTAGATATTCTCAGCATTGTTGGGCTTCTTACAGGAGCCTCTCTACCTCCATTTGCATTTTGGGGTTAGATAGCATCATTTGGTCCAAATTCTTCCCTATTCCCTACATCCATACTCCTTGCCATATAATTTTGTAGTGTCTTCCCCCTATAGGTGGGTGACCTGCTTGACCTCTTAACTCTGGACTCAGCCATATAGGTTTATTTGGCCAGGAGGATGTTTGAAAGATGTGATGCAAGCAGAGGCTTGGAATGGACAACAACACCCAAATTCGTGAAGTGTTCCATATTTTTAAGAAGCTCTGGTACCCTAGTGCCTAAGGCACTTCTCTGCTAACCAGAAGGCTGGAGGTTCAAACACACTAGCCACTCCTCGGATGGAAGGTTGGGCAATCTACTTCTATAGTGATACCACCTCGGAAACCCAAGGAGGGGTTGCTATGAGTAGGGGCAGACTTGACGGCACATAACAACAATAGAACACTTGAGCTTGCTCTTTTGCCAGGAGAAAAGTGAGAGACATATGGCAGTGGCTAAGTGCCCCAACCAAACCTACCCTATAATCGAACCCCAAGCAAACCCACAGACATGAATGAGCCCATTGGGACAAACAGAACCATTCAGCCCAGCCCAGAACCGCTGAACCCTGCAGATGTGCTATAAATAAATGTTTATTATTGGATGCAACTGGGTTGTGTGGTTGATTGTTACACAGCAAAAACTAACTGACAGAAGTGTCATTTGATCCAGTCTCCTCATGTGTGCTATTCTTTCTAAAATGGAACTCTCTGATAATCTTAAAATTACTTTGCATAAGGCACTTCAGTGACTCCACATTACCTCTAGGATAAAGTCTAAAGTCCCTCACAATGTGTAGTCCTTTCATAAGACAGCTTCTGGATATATTTCTGGTCTAATCCCTTACTGTATCCCACTAGCTTAAGTGTTACCCACTAAACCACAATGAACTTTGTCCATGCAGCTCCCTTGGCCTAACAATATTTTCCTGCTACTCCCTGACCATGGCCCATGAGACTCCAAATCTTTATCTAATTAACTTCTACCTACATTTTAAGCTCCAGATAAGGAGTCACCTCTGGAATCTTTCCCTTGATCTTCCCAAACCCAACTGAGTGCTCCCTGAACATCCTGTACCAGACATTTCTGTCACAGTCCTTATCACAATGTTGATAATTAATTATTTGTTACATATCTTTATCCTGATCAATCAACTTGGAAGTGAACTTCTTGGAGGCAGGATTGTATCCTATCTTTCCTTGTATCCCTAGTACCTAGCAGAGTGTTTGACACAGAGTGGCTGTGCAGTTAATGTTTGTAGAAAAAAATTGATGCATGTTCATCTGCAAATATCCAAACAGGTGTGTTCTTGGCATATGATACATTCTGTTTGTGTGACAACTGGCAGTTGAGTTTTCTTGGAAGCAAAAGCATCCAGTTAGAGACCAAACATCATTTCCTTATTCTTCTTCATTTCCTTCTCTCTATATAACTACCCAATCACACATGCTTTATAATGCTTTTAGATGTAAGTGACTGTGAATTATTACTGACTCTGGGCCTTTCATCTTCAAGACTGACAGTCCACATCCACGTCTCTCAGGAGGGTGAGACTATTATAACTATATTTTTGCTTACCAAGAGAATTGTTAATGGCTATCCTGGAGGGAAAAAAAATCTATAAATATCCAACTCATAATGAACCCTTAAGCTTACTTTCTCCCCTTACTAATGAAATCCTCTTCGAGTGCACTGCCAGAATTGCTACATAATCATTACATTGAGAAAAGAGACAAAGCCTGTAGTGATTTTATTTTTCCTCTTACCTGTTTAGTCCTCATTTTGGAATCTGATGACAGATTGTTGTAGGTATAATGTGCCTGTGTTACTCCACAGAACAGAACAGCAACTATCCCTGAAATTCAAAAATAGAGCAGTCAAAACCAAATTTCTCTCCTGTCTAAGTCTGTTGTTGTTGTTATGTGCCGAGTCGGGATAGGGATATCTCATCTTGCAAATGAACTTGGTGTCCATTGGAGAATTAAAACTGCTAATAATTACTATGATAATGGAACTTGGGTAAATCTTGTTACTTGCTTTGAACACAAGTCTTAGAAGATTAAACCTTAAAAAAAAAAAAAATTAGGAAGTAAATTCTTCCTGGGGATGAAACCCTGGTCACGAGTCAGAAAAGTTATAGTTGGAAACACATGGACAAGGGATCATATAGTCACTCTGGACTTCTCACAGCCAGTGCCAGCTACATTGCTGCACTTTGTACTAAATTCTGGCATAATACCTCAAAGACACTTGCTTTCCACTGAGTACCTTGGAGAGTCTGAAGAAGTTTCTGTTATACTATAATTTAGTATTAAAATCCATGAGTCACACACCTAAGATTTCTATAAGGGTCTTCCTGTCCCTGCCAATATTCCTACTTGCCAAGCAAGAGAGAGAGATCCTTGTTTACTCTTATTCCTCATTGGCAAAGCAGTCTTTTTGCTGTAGAATAATGTAGCCAACACATCCAAGGCACACAGTCCCTGAAGGTAAGGTAGTCTGTTTTTGTGTACATCCTACCAGCGACTAGGTTTTCAGTTGAGAACTGACTGGCTGCAGGACTTATTTCTTAATTCACTATAGTATGCAACTTTAGAAATTGGTGTTTCGGTGGTAGAATTCTTGCCTTCTATGTGGAAAACCCCACTGGTTTCCTTGCCAATACACCTCATAAGCAGCCACTGGCCATCTGTCAGCGGGGGCTTGCATGTTGTTCTGATGCTGACCGGGTTTCAGTGGAACTTCCAGACTAAGATGGACTGGAAGAAAGGCCAATGAAAACTCTAAGGATCACAAACCCTAAGGTATGCTCTAAAATTGGGCCATGGGGATATTTTAAGACGTGGCAGCATTTGCTTCTGTTGTGCATGGGGCCCCCATGAGTCAGGGGCCAACTGACAACATACTTAGCTTTATATGCTACCTAAAGTCATATTTACAACTGGATGCTTCTTGGGCACAGAGGAGCAGCAACTATGGGGCAAATGTGTTATTTGTACTGGGGCTGGGGTATGTAGGGAGTAGGGGCTGCATTCTATTTTGGATCAAAGATTAGATTAATTATGGAAAATTGGGCATATAGGAGGGCTTTGGGAAAAACACAAAATATAAGTATTCCTCAACTCAAACCAAGGAGATTGAATTGAATTTTAAGCAGCAGAATCTTTTCAACTAAAAACACTCATAAATTAAATGCTGATGATTCTTAAGGGAATAGAGATATGTGAACTGAATACTGACATTTCAAATGAATCTGCAATAAAGAATTTTAAAGAACCAACCTTATTTTTTTAATATGTACACTGTATGCTTTTATTTACATGTTGGGTACTTTTCAGATTAACATTGGATAAAATATTGCTAAGACATATTTACATAACACAAGGGCATAGAATAGACATTTACATCATTTATTTCCTTTTAATATTAGGCTTCAAAATGTTAAGCCAAAAGTATAAAAACAACCAGGAAATTTTGCTCAGAAATATATATTCAGTAAGCATTTCTATAGAATCTTTTGTAACTTCAATTTCTTAGCCTCTCTTTAGAAATTCTAAGAAAAATGCTTATGCAATATCATATTTCACTCTTCACAGAATTTCTATTAAAAATCAACCAATACCAGGGAAACTTCCAGGATGCGGAAGCACTTGAAGTACTTGGAGGCACTAGGAGGATGGCCATGCATGCTGTTTTGGCATCAAATGTTTCTCTTTATTTATCTAAAAATATGATTTATCTGTTTATGCTGGATCTGTAGTCTGTTGTCAGTTCTTTCTGGGTGAGGTTTTAGTTGACCTTACCACTGTTCTGGAACCATTTTGACTATATATTGATCCATGGAAAAGTAGTGAATAAAAAGGAGGAGGGGGAGTAGAAATAAATTCATTCTGAGAACAAGGATAAATAATAAAGAAGTGTTATAAATAACAGGGAAGGAGGCTAAGATTGAATGAGTATCTAATGTGGGCCAGGAACTGCACTAAGCTCATTTATATCATCTTATTTATTGCATGGATTTAGTGCCTTGCAGCGGGCTTATCAGAATTAACAGGCCGTTACACTATCTTGGCTCCCTGGGTGGTACAGTTAACATGCTCAGCTGCTAACCAAAAGGTTGGAGGTTCAAGTTCCCCCAGAGGCACCTTGAAAGAAAGGACTGGTAATCTACTTGCTAAAAGTCATTGAAAACCCTATGAGCACAATTCTAATCTGACACACATGGGATCACTATGAGTCAGAGTTGACTTGATAGCAACTGGTTTTCTCCATCTTCTCCTTCTCAATAACATCTCCTTCTTCTTGCTGCTCAGGCCAAAACTTTGGGACAGTCCTTTAATTCCCTTTTCTTATGGGACATCAGCAACCTTGTTGGTTCATCATTCGAATCTTACCCTAAACCCATCTACTTCTCAGCACTTCCACCTCTTATGTTCTTGTCTAAGCCACCATCATCCTTGCCTGGATGATAGCAATAACTTCCTACTTGGCTTCCCTATTTTTCTCCTGGAGCTCTGGTGGCACAGTGGGTAAGCCACTGTCTGCTATCCTAAAGTTCAGTGGTTCAAATCCACCAGTCATCCCACAGGAGAAAGAGGTGGCAGTCTGCTTCCATAAACATTATAGTCTTGGAAACCCAATGGGGTCATTCTACGCTGACCTATGAGGTTGCTATGAGTTGGAATTGACTCCAAGGCAGTAGGTTTTAGACTTTCTTCCTTGATTCTCAATAGTCTATTTTCCACCCTCCAATGAGTCTTTTTAAAAAGTCAGATCATATTAATCCTCTGCCCAAAACATTCTATTGGTTCCCTGTCGTTTAAAAGCTCTGGTGTGATCTGATCCAGACCCCTCTTCCCCTCCACCCAGCTCTCTAACTTTATCTCCTACCTCATTCCCCACTTACCCTTATTCTATCACTTGCACTTTCAGTTCCCACAGCTTGGAAAGCCCTTCTTCAGTTTTTCACACGACTCCTTTCCTTCCCTCCAGTTCTCTGTTCAGATGTTACATTATGAAAGAGCCCTCTCTCTCTTTTCTACAAAAACAATCCCATCTCACCATCTTCTACCTACCTATCCTGCTTGTTTTTCTCTATATTTTTCCTGCCATCTAACATTTTTCATATCTATGAGTTTATTTTCTGCCTTCCTGCACTCCAATGTAAGCTCATCCAGGGCAAGAGGTTTCATTGGTCCCTAACTCCTAGAGCTGTATGGGACACATAGTAGGTTTTCGGTGAGTATTTGTTGAATAAGTAAATGAACTTTCCTATCCCCATGTTACAAGTAAGAAACTAATTTATTCAAGTAAATCTGAGATTCAAATTTACGGTATTTGGCTCCAGAATTCCAAACTCCCTGTGCTTTTCTTCTTGCATTAGACCATTAGGGAATGCTTTAAGGTGATCTTAAGGAACTCTGGTGGTGTAGTGGTTAAGGCACTTGGCTGCTAACTGAAAAGTCAGTAGTTCGAGCCCACCAGCCACTCTGTGAAAGAAAGATGAGGCAGTCTGCTTCTGTACTTGGAAACCCTTGCTTTCAGTTGGAATTGATTTGATGGCAATGAGTTTGATTTTGGTTTCTTAAGATGATCTTAAGCCAGTAAAAAAAAAAAAAAAAAAAATCTTATATAGAAATGGAAAATGCATAGACCAAGATTTATTAGTGGTTATAAGCAGCAGGAGTGGGGTGGGTATGGGGCAAAAGGGGAGTCATTTCCTAGGAAGAACTGAGTTTCTGTTAAGGGTGATGGAAAAAGAAACTAGAAATGAATAGTGGTGATGATTGTACAACATGATGAATGTTATTAATGTCACTGAGATTTTTGTACATGAAAAAAAAGTTGAAATAGCCTATTTTTTTGTATATATTTGTACATAACAACATCTGCCAACAAACCAACAACAACATTAACATTTTTGATGTCTCAGAGGAATGGCCAGATATTTGATAATGAAGATTGCGTATCTGAGCTGGCTGGGTTTCTCACTGGAGGGTATTTCCTTTGTATCCTTGCTGTGATTAGGACAATTACAGTGATGCTCCTTCTAACTAATTTTTTCTCTTTATGTGTGTTGATGTCACAGAGCAACAAACAATCAAGGGTGTGCCTATATGACCAGAGGCTTGGTGTTGTAATTAAAATAAAATAACAAAGTTGATCTGATCTTTAGTATTAGCAAACACAACCATAATTATATAGCTTGGTAATTAATTAATTCACATAAATTACTGTAATTAGTATAACTTTCACGAGCCAAAACACAATTAAAAATATCTTATCTAAATATACCTATCATCTATGAAAGTCTCTGCCATTCCAACAGATTCTGACTTGACAGTTTTCTACATTACACATGTACATTTTAATCTTCATTACATTTTGCACACCCACACTAATTCTGCTAGTACTGGCTGTGCCACTGAGATGTGGGCCATGGGCATCTTCTTAAATGCTTTGGATCTGGATTCTCCTGTGTGAAAACAAGGGGGAGACAAAGTGTTCTTTGTGCTAGTCAGCAAACCAGCATCTCCAGAACCACTCTTCTACACTTGAAGAGACCCTTCTTGGAGCTGGGGCTCTGCAAATCACGTTTGTCCTTTGCCAGAGGCTGTCTGTCCAGCTCTGCCAACAAAGGCATCAGAGGGAGACTAAGAGGGGAGAGAAGGACTTGCTCCTTGCTGTTTGCCTGCTGATACTGCTAGCTTCATTTCAACAATGGCTCTTCACTATGGCTTTGGCAATTGGTTCTGGCCCTCTCCTTTTTGTCTTTTTCCCCTTGTACTTCAGAACCAGCTTCATGGTACCGCCTCAGAGATAAAAACAGCAGCAGGGCAATATCCTCTGGGTTTC